GAGAAATCTTTTTAAGTATTTCAAGAAATGTGAGTAATAGGGAATTTACTGGAATTGGGAAACATGCTGTCAAAAATAGCCTGGAGACCTCAAACCTAAGCTTCATTTGGGCCACTCAATGTCCCTGCGTGAAGCAGCTGACCAAGGTGAGTGAAGGAGATGGGCCTGACATCTATCACAATAAGACCCTGTTCGTCAAGCACTCGGTACGTACCACGAGCTTCATGAGGGGCCGGCAATCTGACGACAGCGATGATAACGTCTACCAGGTACTGAGTGGTTACGGAGTACAACAGTGGGACCTTCCGTGGATTTTCTCTGCGTGGCAATGTACCAGCCACTGAGGAGCCACTTAAAATAAAAATTGAAGTCGTGTCATGATCTGATCTTCCTCCCGCAAGCACTTCAGTTGCTGAGGCCTCCCTCTCTCAGCTCTTTTCAGAACTCAACAGCAAACCCATAATCGAGCAAAATCTAACGTCACTGGCACGGGCAAATCCCCCAAGGAAAAGGAGCAGCAAAGGAATAAAAAGCCTTTAGACAGAAAGGGGTCAAGTACCTACGAGATTGGGGATGGTGTTTTGGAAATGTTCAGGTTAGGTTTAACAGAAACCTTTGGAAAAGGTTAGTGAGTTACTTAGGACCTAAGTATTCCAAAGTTTGAGAAGCTAACATACTGAGAAATTTAATTGGGATTTCCTTAACATCCTCTCTCATGATAAGAAAGCATCCGGTACATAAATGCTATGCAGCAGGACTGCCAAACTGCAACAGAGAAGAGAGAAGTTGTCATGTTTGAAATGCTAAGGGAATTCTTACTAACAGCTTTCTCATCTTGTAAAACTATTATTTTTCTGAACTATAATATGATTTATAAGCCTCTGCTGAGTTTCAGACTTTTGATGAGAATAATCTCAAAGCAAAATGAATTTTCTCAGAACATAAAATCCTCCCAGGAGTTGAGCAAATGAGGACTAAAGAGAAGCATCTTCTAGAACCAAGAGTACCAAAATCTTGGTCTCTGCTGGCACATCTGTGGGCATGAGCCGATCTTCAGTGTCCTAGGCTCAGCTGGACTCTGCCTCCCTACACACTTTTCCTGGGTGACATCAGCCACCCCAAGTGCTTCAGCTGTCACCTTAGCCCCATAAATCCCACATCTGTAGTTATGGAATGATAGCACGCCTATAGAAATAAGCAAGGTTTGGGCCAGGGATTTAGCTCCGTGGTGCCACTGCCTGCCTCTCAAGTGAAAGGTCCTGAGTACTAAAGGTCCCCAGTACTAAAAGGAGGAGGAAGAAGAGGAGGAGGAGGAGATAAGCAAGATTTGGTTTCTGCTCTCAAGCAGGTTGTAGTCTAGGATAGGAGACAGAAAACTAAATAAGCAATTACTGTGCAGGTTCATAATTGCTGTTTGGAGAAGCCCAAGAAGCTCTGAGGAAGGACGTGCCATGAGGGAACCCACCTTCAGGAAGAAACACCTTTATTGCGTGAGTTAGGTGACTGAAGTGTGCAAGCAGGTGTGTGCAGGTGTTAGGGAGCCATGCGGAGTGGCAGAGGAGTCCATCATGAGAGACCCCAGCCCTGATGGAGATCATATGGAGCATGACCTGCAAAGACATCTCCGCAGGGGCTAGACAGAAAAGAGGCCAGATCATGGTGGCCAGGTGAGAGCAAGATTTGTGTCCTTACTTGATCCCCACAGGGTTTGAAACCTGAAAGATACGGTGCAGAGGGTAGGGCAACCTCAGCCTTCACATGGAACATGCCAAGTAACCATGGGGACTCTGGGGAGACCCATCATGGTCCCAGCTCTCCAAGGGTGCTCCACAAATGTTGAAATGGACCCAAGGAAAATCCATCGGGGCAACCTTTCTTAAGAATGCTTAACTCATAGAGCAATTTTACTTTATATGCGCCATCATCCCGAATCTTTCCAGCCACTCTGAGTAGAGACAGACCATAGACTTTGGAGGTAGACAGCAAGAACTTCAAAAGCTGGGCAAGTTGCTGAGCTTCCCTTGATCTCTGTCACCCTTACCTGTAGATAAAGGTGAGATAGTTCTGAACTCCTCTTTTCCAAACCTCACCTAGACAGGTGTGAAGTTACTTAGAGTTGTTTACTTATCCTCTTAATATGAGCATCTAAAAATTACCACAAAATATCGCATTGTTTGACTTAGAAATGTATTAGTGATATATGCACCATCTTAACTAACAGCTGAAAAGTTCTGACTTCAAAACCATGTCCAGCCTAAGCATGTTGGATGAGGAATTTGCTAGCTTTTGCACACTTGCTTGCTCTCTTTCATTCTCTGTCTCTACACACACATACACACACACACACACACACACATACATACAAGTTAATGTATATAAAATGCTAATTCAGTGTAAATTGATATATAATAAAGGCTCAGAAATTATTAGTAAAAAGAGGGAGTGGGCTGCCTTAGATTTTTTCCTAGATTTTTGTAAAAACTCAGGTGATGAGGAAGGTGAGACATTTTGTAGGAAATGCATGTTTTTCATCTTTTGTCCCCCATCGAATTTTTACCATCACATTTTTCAAAAGTTACAATTATTTATAATGATCATACCTTTAAGGTATAGATTTTTGTCCTTATCCTACCATTCACAGTAAGAGGATTCATTCAGAAAAAAATGTGCAGTATTCATCAGATGTCAGCAAAGGCTGGCTAGGGTGATTCTGGGAAAGAAAATAGCTGGGTCTTCACCTGGTAGAGTGAAAGAGGTGTTCAGAGCAGGAGGGTGAACATCAGAAATCTGGAACTCAGAGAGCTTGCCATGACATGGCAACGAACAAAGCTGGAGGGCATTTCAGGAAAATTATATTTAAAAAATACCTTGTGTACCACGATTATATGTTATCCTGCACACGAGTGGTTTTCAACCCTTTTTACCAAGAGAATCTATTGAAACAAAATTTGTTTTGCACAGGACCTCTGTATATCGCAGTCACCTACCAACCCATTATGACTCGGTGACTTAAGTGCTCTTTCAAAAGAACAAATCCAATCCTTTCAGTCCACAGGGATACTCTTCAGAAATAACTCATTAACTTGGAATAAAGCACTGTCTCTCTGTGGCTCTGGTGCTGTGTCCCTGCTCACTGTCCTGGCTCGTCTCATATTATTACCTCCTTGACGTGGACCTGTGTGTCTTCCAGTGAGTCCATGTTCCTCCCAATCACAGGCTTTTATAAAGGACACTGTCTCCCCTTCCTCTTCCTCCCACTTGCCTCCCACACTCTTTCCAAGCCTTGGCTCAGCCATCCTTTCTCAGGGGATTCTTTCCCATTTGGGCCAGGCACCCTCTGCTCTGTTCTCCTGCGCTCTGTCCCTTTTCCCATTGTATCACTTCATCATGGTTGGGTTAAATCATTAGTTGGGGGTTTAATGCTTCTCCCCTGCTGTGCTGTAAACATTGACAATGGGAAGAGCGGCCCCATTTGTCTTGCTCATGACAGTATCCCTGGGACACCCCTCAGTGCCAGCCACTAAACAGGCCCCAGCAAGGATTGTTGAAAATACTCCAATAAATACAACAGGAAGACAAACGGGGGAGGAAGCTGCTTTGGTTGAAATATGGATGGAGCCACGGATTGAGTGTGGGGCCTTGGATTCTTCCCCCTAGGCCTACCCCTTGCCGTCCATGGGGGTCCCCATCTTGAAAAGCACAGTTGGAAATAGTGGGTAGTCTAACAAAAGGCTGAGTTCTTTGGCTTTGGGTTAGGGTTGCATATTATAACCTTGGCTAGAGGAAACTTTCCCACTTCATGGTCAGCAGAATGCATAAACTATCAAAGTAGCATTGTGTAGGCAGGAAGCATATTTCATTCATTTATTTCAACATCTTGTCTCTCTTGGGTGGGGAAAAACTGTGACAGACATCTGTAGGCCACTCTGAATTTTATTCTTTTGTTGCAAGGATGGATCTTTGGAAAGTCATCTTGGCCTTGGCCCAGACCATCAGGAAAATTGCCTGTGTTCTCCACAGATCCCGCGCACACAGCCTCATTCCTGAGTGTGGGATCATCTGACTCAGGGCAGAGCCTGTGACTCTAGCACTTACTCAGTGTGGTCGGCTATAATGGAGTCAGAGGATGCCTTTATCTGTTAAATAGGGCGAATCGAAGTGAAAATTACCTTTTGATTGAGTAGCTTTGCTGAAAAAGAATCAATAGAAATGGCCCAAGATTTATTGGCACCATCTCAATTTTAAGTGTTGTAGACTTTGAAATTACTGGAACACTGGGTTTCAGGATTCAACCTCTTCAAGGCCAGCTGAAATAAACAACAGAATGAGGTAAAGGAAAAGCAGTGTGTCCGCGCTTTCCCAGATTAAAGAGAAAATACATGCTGAGCAAAAGTAAGTCATTTTTCAACTTCAAAATATGCTTTCCACATTCCAAGAGCCTGCACTTGACATGTTTAAGAGAGAGAGAGCTCTCACAAGCTGAAGTTGTCTTTGTTCACAATGTAGGAGACAATTTTGTCTAGACTTTCAGGAAAGATATGGAATGACATTTTCAGAACAAATCAAAATGGTTTTTTTAACTCCCTTTTTTCCCTTCAGGAAGAAGATTTGACGTGTTTCTATAATTTGAATTTGGTTGATCTATAAATGGCCTCAATCACTTAATACGAAGAGTAGAGTAAAACGAGCCATTGAGAAAAGCTATTGGAAATGCTATTTGTTCACTCTCTTACTTTGAAAGTAATATTACCAACAACGAAGTAGAAGCTACTCTTGAGGTGGTTTCTAGGCACATACTAGGCTCTTAATATATATTTTCAGACCGTTCTCACTGTTACACTATGCGGTAGGTACTATTGTCTTGCCAGTTTTCTGATGAGCACAGAAAGCTGGGTCGACTCACCCAGAGCCACACAGCATAAGTGGCCAAGCAAGCATCATGCCTGATGGACCCCCTAAACCTGCCCCGCTAACCCCTGTGCTGTCTTCTTTCCCCACAGGGCCAGCATTGTACAGAAGCGCATTATTTATTTTCAAGACGAGGGCTCTCTGACCAAGAAACTTTGTGAACAAGGTAAGACTTGCGGATGGAGAGAGGCAGATAATTGCAAGCAGGCTCATTCAGTTCAAGGCTCTCGCTGCAGGAATGAAGACGATCAGGCTTTCTGAGACCCTCTGCGTTGTGCATCCCCGTGTAGCTCTGATTTTCAATCTGGCTGTGTGCTGTGGATAATAATTGTATCTGCCTTAAGCTCTAATTACTCAGCCTGATTCCCTGGGTAGGAGATAATATACCTTACATTGGTGTCTTCTTATTTTTGTGAAACAGTGATTATTCTGAAGAGGCTCCTTGGAATAATTCACAGGACTTAATTAAAGGATGCACAATTGTATACCCATAAAAAAGTCTATCATTCTCTGGAAAAATCACCTGCAGGAACATGTGGCATCAGGACAACACAGGGAATTTTCTCCAGGGAAGACCAACAGGGCATTGAGGTGCTACGGGGACACTGATCTTGGGTTTGTAGCATGTTCAAGGCATGGCCCTAGATTTGCAAGCTTCTCCACCCTATCTCCTTGGGTTGTAGTTGTTCTAACAAAGCTGAAGGAGGGCCAGGGATTTAGCGTAGTGGTTCTCCCACCTGCCTTGCAAGCTCAAGGTCCCGAGTTCGATCCCCAGTACTAAAAAAACAAACAAACAGCAGCAGCAGCAACAACAACAACAAAAAAGCCCAAGGAAACTGAGGAGATAACAGCAGGAGCCTGAATTCAGAGCAGTCCTGGGTGTGACTCTGTCCTTGCCCTCCCCAACTATGGGACTTAATATATTCAAAATATTGCACTGCCTCCTTGGCACATAGTAAATGCTGTCTATGTAAGTGTCAGCTATTGCTGTCTATATCCGAAAGCTTGTTCATTATTCTACTGTAATAAAAGAAAAAGACCTTAAAAATATGAAGGTCTTTAGAAATCATTAGTTAACTAAATTAAAATAGAAAATGTTCTATAATTATACAGCTCAACTATCTCATTTCTATTCATTTTTGCAGAAGTTTTATTTGCATTTAAAGCAATTCATCCTTTGAGAAGAAATAATCCTCTAACTCTAGCAAATTATAAGCTCCTAAGAGAGGTTGATGAAAGTCTTTTAGGAAAATAATAATAAAAGCTAATATTTTTTTAGTTCTTACTATATGCCAGTACATTCCAAGTGCGTCATGTGCATTAATTATGTAATCTGCACAACAATCCTATATAGTAGAGATTATTGTATCACCCCTATTTATGAATGAGGAGCCTGAGACAGAGGTTTGGTTTGGTTTTCCTTTGCTTTGCTTCTTTGGTGCTGGGGATTGAACTTAGGGCCTTTGCACTGAGCTATCTCCCCAGCCTTTTGCATTTTTTAATTTCAGGCAGGATCTCATTAAGTCACTAAGTTGCCCTCGATAGACTTAATGTGATTCTCCTGCCTCAGCCTCCCAGAGTACTCGGGTTATAGACCACACCCCACAGCCCCAGCAGTTTAAAATAACTCTCCCAGCATCACTGGCTCATAGCAAAGGGCAGGGTTTGACCCATGGAGCCAGTGCCCTGAACCACTGCCCTTCTACCAAAGCCATTATCTTCTATTTCAGTTTATTGGATTATTTTTTTACTTTTTAAATTATTCTGTGCATTTTACAGTGAAGGTTAAAGCATACAAACCACAGACACTTTTGATATAGTACTGACCAATTTTAAAAACACAGAATGATCATTTGCACACATTCTTCATATTTAATTTTACATCTCATTATACAAAGGTACTATTAATACACAAAATTCCAATTCTTTTGTCATTTTTTTTTTTTTTTTTTTTTTT